ACTTATACATCATATTTTTTTTCTAAATTACAACCCGTAAAAATTAAAACAATTATTATCTCCTTTTCACTTAATAATAATAATTTCTCCAATTATAATATTTCAAGTTTCGCGGAACTTTTTGTACAACAGTGGTTTCTTTATGGATTTAAAAATTGAAAATATTTTATTTGTTTAGGATGTTTTTTCACCTTTTAGCTATGTGAATATGGGTGAACCACACGTGTATGAGAAGCCTACAGGAAGTCAATTTGGCCCACCACCCGGTAGCGTGCACACATACCTTCGTTAATAATAAAACAATAAATATTTATTTTATTGTAATAAATAAACAACACTGTTTAAATATTGTTATTAAATGGCCATATTTTATTTTAAATAATTTACCATTTTTGTTTAATAAATTATTGAAATACACATAGAAAAAAATATTTTTATTAACATAATTGTAAAAAAAAAAAACAGTGATTCTTTTAAACTGATTCCACAAGAGTATCAACAATAATGAATGATTTCTGCTCCAAATCCTGTTTAGGTAAATAGACCTATATAGAATGCATTTAAGCGTGCGTAGATGGCGAAATCATAAAACTTGGTTTTGGTTATTAAAAATCCAAATTAAATCATTACAGTTTTGAACTTCTGTGTCAATAATCCTTAGGTTAGCATAATTCCATTATAATTCATATAGATAAGTAACACCTGTACAGAATATCTGTAGTGTGGCTGAAAATACGTATATAACGGTGGCAAGTAAAAAAAAATATTTTCTTTTTATATCATCTGTACTTTTGATTTTGAATGTGTTGAAAATATTAGGTAATTGATTTCGACAATGTCAATTTATTTTTTAGTTAATTTGTACATGTGTCAAGGTATCATTTTTACGCATACAATTTTTATATACCATTTTGGTTTTTTACATAATATTTTGATGGTAAAAAAACATTCACCACGCTGTGACAGAATTTAATTTGGCTGTTGCAAAGGCTAATTTCGTAAAAATATCAAAATTTTTTGGTATTTTTACTGGGTTTTGTTAAAACCCTATTTTTATTTATAAATAAAGTTTTTTTTGTTTAAATACATTCAATTTGAAAAATGTTCAATATTAAATTCACTTTTTTTTAATAAAAAACAAAATCCGTTTCCAAACAGAAACTAGTAAAGCAGCTCAAGAACTTTATCTTACATTATTAAAATCGGACCATCTTATGTAGTGAAAATGTAAGGGTTTGTTTTTTCTAGTACGTTGAAAAACAGACAACTCATATTACCTCTAATCAAACCCGTTTTAAAAAAATATTTAAATATACCCATTATAAATATTTAAAAAAAAAAATATTTGTTATTATGTTAATTTAGTCCTGTTCAATTGTATTAATATTTGGACCATTGTGCGACACTTAGTACATGGGACACGGCGTCTCGTGTAGGCAATTCAACAACACACGAGTAAACATGTATAACGTTATAGTATCGCTTGGAAAATATTATACCTCATGCCAACGCCGTTATGGATAACAAATAATAACATTATAAAAATGGTATAATGTAGCAGGTTTTGCCATCAAATTATGAGTAATAGTTATTAATTTTGAAAAAAAACCGTACAGTTCAAACCAAGCACAGTGTAAACCAGCACAGTAAGAGTGTATTAGAGCGAGGTGCAGTGTCCACAAATTAGCATCAAAGTGTTTGTTTGAAAGTGATTTTATCCAAAAGAGCCAGTAAATTCTAATTGACAAGGCATTTTTTTGTAGACTTTATACTGGAATCATAAAAACACTTTTAATTTTAATTCTAGCTAGTCATGTGGTTTAATAATTTTTTTTAAATTTTACTTTGGTATTGATATTTATTAAACATGATAAAAACAAACCTTTGCCGATACCTAACCTAATCTATTGCACTTACTTAATAAATATAATTTTGAATCCCTATTTGTGTATCCCGGTACAAATTATAGGTACATTAGGCTCCAACAACTCCAAACAGACTAATATTATAATTGATGTGACTAATGTGCTTATTTTACTAAAAGTGGTCGATTTATGTCAACTACCAATAATTGTGTGTAGTTTGATTTTCAGACAATCAGTTCTACGCAAAGCTTTTATTTTAAATTTATTACAAATTTTAATTCAAAGTTTTACTCGTTGTACTGTTTTTAAAGCTAACTGAAATGTATACACTTTTTTTTTAATTAATCATTTTATTAAGTATTAGTAAAACACAATACAAAAGAGAGATTTCCCGGTCATAGGTATTGAAAAATAAAATAAGCCTCTCAGTCCAAGTTAAATCTAAGCTCTAATATATAAGCAGAAGAATATGTTTAAAATTGTTCAAATCACAACATGTTTTCATACTACAGTAAAAAAATATATAGGTTACAACGAACTGTCTATACCGTCGTCTCAAAAGGCCTAACTTAACTTCCACAATATTGTCTTAATACATTTTTTTTTTTTGGAGGTCAAACTCAGTTAATCTATCAGAATATTATACAATTATTCATTTCAATCAATATTTCTTGTAGTTATAAGAAATAATGTACATTTTTGTAACGTTTTTGATCCCTGGCTAAAAAATATCTAAAATCTGTTATCAACCAAAATTCAAAATTACAGTCCTTATGAATGAATTGGTTGCTGTGAATTTATATGACACAAGTGTATTGTGTATATAAATTTGTACTTTTTAGAAACGTCGGTGTAAAGTATGTCAACGTCAATGCATAAAAAACATAACATATAGTACATTAAAAACTGTACCGTTTGTTATTATGGTTTGATTACTTAACCTTTTGTATTATTGCAAATGCGAGTACATTATTTGTTTTTGTATTGTTTTTTTCGTTATGGCTGAAAAAAAGTACAAAAAGTATGACTTTCAAAAATTGCTAGTATCGAGTAAATAAAAACCGATTTATATTGTTATGTAAGTTGTTGATTTTGTTGCATTTGACCTAGTTGTTGACAATTTCGATTTTAGACTTTTTTTTAAATGATATTGATAATTCAGAAAACGCTTTTAGGGGTAAATTACCAAAAGAAAAAAAACACTTTTAATGTGTGTTGAATGTAATTTCAATAAATATGTTACCTTGACGGGTAACAATTGCAACGAACTATTAGTAAACACAAACATTCAACTCTAATTGCATCCACTCAGAATATTCAAGAAGAAATCAAGTCATGGATGACATTTGTATGATTATCTGATACAATGAGAACGTAGAAATGTAGTCATTTCGTATATAGCAATAATTTATTTAGAAAAAAAAAGAAAGCACTATCACGGCTGACTTGGCCAACAATAGCATTATATTTGTTACATATAATATAATATTTTACTACTAATCTGATTGTAAATAATAGTGAGCTTAAAACCTCATTGTACCTATATTAGGCGAGTAATTTCTATTTTTCTTTTTACTATAAGTAAAGTACCTTCCACGAAAAACATGTAAAAATGAAATCCAGATAGATCGACTTTTAGTGATCCATTAAATTTCTGGGAAAATAACATCAAGATATTTTGGTAAATGATTTTTACAGTGTTACAACATTTCCGACATTTGTAACATTTTTATTTCGTTAACTTTTTCAATCAATAATAACTTTACTTTCTATCAGATAATAGTTTTGACTGGTAATGTTGCTTATAATAGGCAATTATATGCGGATTTATGGTTTTAAATAATTACGTTTAAAAATGATTAGACTTTAAAAGTTAGGACAAGAGGCGAAGTACGGTTGACATACTTCTATATAACGCCACTATATAAGTACCACAGTCTTAGAAACACTGTGTTTGTTTTTTTGTATAGACATTGATGTTGTTGTTTTCGAGCTATATTTTTTAAACTGTCATACTTTCCTACTGCCAATAACCGTCATAGGCGATACTAAAATATATTATTTCGCACAATAGTACTCCTGGTAAAATAAAGCGACTTTTGAATTTAAAAAAGCAGGTCACAGTATGCAAGAAAAATATACAAAGATTTCTCCGGTTTTCCATATTTACCTTCTCCGACCTAGATATTTTCCAAAAAATTGTTTTAATACTATGTCTTACGCAGAACGAAGCATTTGTGCAAATATCCAATGAATCGTAGTCTGAATAATATTTGTTTTTGTCATGGACACTTGTTTTGATTGCATATGACCTAGTATTCGAATTTAGGTTACCTACTGGATATAAAAGTAACCGGCGTTGAACACAAAACATAGTACAGTCTTCTTTTGCAGTCACAGTGAATTTTTGAATTTTGACCAACTTATAATTTCAGGATATACCTACGTGTTATTCAATTATGTCAACCAAAAATATAATCAACACGTTCTTTGCCATATTTTTAATATTATCTGTTGAGTGTAGCATTATATAACTTTATCAAAATGTTTTTAATTAACATTTATTTACTTTTGATTTATTTTCCAGGTATTGGTGAGCATTATAAATTGCGGAAGATATACCCTAAAAGGCTAAATAAAAAGCGGTAGAAAGCAAAAAGTAAATATGATTTAAATTGTCTATTTCATATGTGAATAAAAAATAGTTTTTAGTCAAGAAGGGTTTTATTTGTAATAATTAATACAATATTTCATAGTTATAATTAATTAATAGTATTAATTGTAAAGATTCAAGTAATTTGTTTTGTCTTGTATTAATCAGAGTGATGGTAAACAAATTGTGTTTTTATTTAAGAGGTCCTCTTAAATAAAAAATATTTTTTATTCACAGATAAGTAGTAAATTTTAATCATATTTACTTTTTTTTTCCACCGCAATTCATACTGCTCAACAATACCTGAAAAACAAATCAAAATTAAATAAATGTTAATTAAAAACATTTTGTTAAAGTTATATAATGCTACACTCAACAGATAATATTAAAAATATGGCAAAGAACGTGTTGATTATATTTTTGGTTGACATAATTGAATAATACGTAAGTATATCCTGAAATTATAAGTTGGTCAAAATTCAAAAATTCACTGTGACTGCAAAAGAAGACTGTACTATGTTTTGTGTTCAACGCCGGTTACTTTTATATCCAGTTTTTATTTTTAATTACAAACACAAACTTTCATGATTAAAGATGGAACTCTAAGTTAGTATTAATTGTAAAGATTCAAGTAATTTGTTTTACTCGTATATAGTGTTAATAAGAGAGTAATGGTAAATAAATTGTATTAGTACACTTAAGTGTTAAAATAAATGTTTGGATTAAATTTAAATGATTGGTATCGTAAGGACAAATTTTGCTATTTATAATAATATATAATAAAACAATTTTACATATGAGCTGAAAATTAACGTAGCTCTCCGAAAATATGATAAATAATAATATTTATTTAATTATAATCTGTAATATATTTTATAATATTTTCGGAGAACAATATTTTATTGATAGTAAAATTCACAAATTGTTTTATTTTATAAGGAGTTAAATGTATTCCTCATGATAAATTTAAATCTAATCCAAACATTTATTTATGATAAGTATGTTTAAAAAGAACAGGAATAACATGACTTTCAGACATCAAATCAAATTATTTACTATGACAAGTCGAAAAATATATTTTAAAATATTATCATCCATATTGGCAACTATAGTCGCTATAGAATAATTTTTGATAATAAAACCGCACCAAACGTACCAATTTTTTCACTTAGTGTAATACTTATTTTAACATTAGTAATTTAAAGAAATCGGCAAAGCATACAGCAGTAGGCATATTTTACGTTTCTATAAAATACAATCTAATTAAATTTTGATTAATTTTTATTTCAGGGCAAAGTTGTCCAGTTTGCCAGTAGTAATGAAAAAGACGCTACCGCTGATGTATGTATGAGTTTGTTTTGAACAATTATTATGTACCAAATATATATATTTGTTTGATTTAAATAACCAATGTCTATTCAAATTACGAAAATCTCAAATGATTTTCAATTTTCAAATAATAATTTCCTTATTAGCAACTATATATATATATATTTATTAAAAATATATATATATTTTGATATTAAAATCGCACCCAAACTTATCAATTTTCCCATTTTTTGTAATACTTATTATAAAAAGTAACATTAATTAACTTAAATTGGCATATCAACTAGTGTGATTCAACAACAGATATATTTTACGGTTGTAAAAAAAATAACTAATCAAAATTTTCTTTATTTTTTATATCAGAGTAAAACCGACGAGACTCAAAAATCCATTGCATCTGTATGTATGCTTTTGTTTTGAACAATTATTATGTATTAGTTAAAACCAATAACCTATGTCTATTTGCATTAAAAAAGACCTTAAATGATTTTCAATTTCAAAATTGGCAAAATATCTTGTGTCATCCAACAACAGGCATATTTTACGTTTGTATAATATACTGACTAATTAAATTCTGTTTAATTTTTAATTAGGTTGATAAAGGTGTAATTTGTGAAGAACCTTCTAGCAATAATGTATGTATGGCTTTGTTGTGAACAATTATTGTGTACCGAATATGTATTAGTTAAGGTAATATAACTAGTGTCGTTCAAACAAGAATAAACTCAAACGGATTTTAAATTCCAATTATTAACTTTCATATTTTCCACTATATTTTGATAATGAAACAGCACTCAAACATACCTATTTTTCCACTTTATACGATTTTTTAGTAAAAAATTTGCATAACATCTTGTGTCATCCAACAACAAGCATATATTACGTTTGTAAAATATATTAACTAATCAAATTTTGTTAAATTTTTATATTAGGTTGAAGCCAGTGATAATCAACAACACGCTAGCAATTATGTAAGTGTGGGTTTATCATTAAACATTTATTATGTACCGAATATTGGTGTTTATTCGAATTAAAAAAATCTCAAAAGTCAGCGTTACAGTTATGCCAAAAGTCCGTGTCATTCAGCTTATTTTCATCTTAAATTGCCACCGTTATGATGCAAAATTTTGGCTAAAATACAATTTAAACTTATACAAGATTTTTTTTTCTAAATAAAACCCATTCAAATTTAATAAGATATGATCTCCTTTTCACTTAGGTAATGATAGTTTCTACAATTATAGTTTTTCAAGTGCCACGGAACTTTTTGTGCAACAGTAGTTTCTTTAAGCATTCACAAATTGTAAAATGTTTTATTTATTTAGGATGTTTTTTCACCTTTTGGCTATGTGAATATGGGTGAACCACACGTGTATGAGAAGCCTACAGGAAGTCAATTTGGCCCACTACCCGATAGCGTGCGTTCATACCTTCGTTAATAATAAAACAATAAATATTTATTTTATTATATCAAATAAACAACACTGTTAAAATGTTGTCATTAAATAACAATATTTTGTTTTAAATTGTTTTACCATTTTAATTTCAATAAATTATTAAAATACACATAGAAATCAATGTTTTTTTTAATATAATTGTAAAAAAAAAACAGTGGTTCTTTTTAACTGTTGCCGCAAGAGTACCGACAATAATATATGATTTCTGCTCCAAATCCTGTTTAGGTAAAATAGACCTATATAGAATATTTAAGCATGCGTAGGTGTCGAAACCAACTAACCTGGTTTTGGTTATTAAAAATTCAAATTTTAACGGAGAAATAGTTTAATAAATATAATTGGTTTGACTAATAATATACATTTTATATTATATTATTTATTAATTCGTGGTTTTCTGGTATGTTAGAAAATAAAAATATATTTAAAGCTAAAATAATTACATTATAATTCATTTAGGTTAGGGGACCTATGAATACACTATACAGAATAGCTGTAGTGTGGCTAAAGAAAATATAATGGTGGCACGTTAAAGAAGGCCTTTTCTTTTTATATCATCATTACTTTTAATTTATGATGTTAACAACCGATTTTTATTTATAAATTCAGTTTTTTGTGTTTAAATAAATTAAATTTGAAAAATGTTCAATAATTATATCGTTTGTTTTTTAAATAAAAAAAGCAAAAAATACAAAATTCATTTACAACATTATAATGAAAGTTTGTAAATAAATATGAATAGAAATATTACTGTAAATTTTGTTTTGGGTACTTGTGCCCGTTAAGTAAAATAAATAAATAAAAAATAATTAAAATCGGACCATCTTAAGTAGTGAAAATGTTGTAAGGTTTTTTTTTTCTAAAGTGTTAAAAAACAGACAGCTGTTTTATTTGCCCTTAAGCAAACCCGTGTTAATAAATTTAAAAACTATTTAAATTTAAAAAAAAAATCCAAGTACAGTGTGAGCCTTGTCCAAACCTTGCGAAGTCTGAATCGAGCACAGTATTTAAACCAAGCGCAGTAAAACTCAGTACAGGAGAACTTAACAAAATTGGTTCGCATCAATTATAAAGATGTTATAGGTAAATTTCGGTTTGAGAGCATGTTTGGATAGAAGCATGCCTAATCAATTAACTCTCTTAAGTAGAAAAAATCAAAATATCAAATAAGACATTTTTTTAAAATAAAATCATCATACTATGCCAAAGCAAGTTTTGAAACGCTAGAATACTATATAATTTTTTTTTTTTTTAATAAATCAATGTAAACATAATATATATCACTGGACTTTTTAACAGCTGTGCAAAGTGTAGCTAGATAAATTAACGTTGGATTTGTCATCGACCCGCTAATGTAATTTAGTATTTCAACTACGTTTTCTCTCCGTCGCTCGTGCTTAAGTGTACGGCTTTATTCCAAAGGGTTCTTCCGGTTAACAAATAGACACAAATGCATGCTAGTGACAAATTACATGTACTATCTTATGCGAATGTACGTGTACTATATTTATTTAGTGCGCTCGTCAGCCGAGTACAAGTTTTATTACAAGCTGTACCGCAGTATTTTTTATGTGCACAAAGGAATAATGTTCTGTATGTAGTGTACATGTGGCCAATGAAATAAATCCGGCTGTACGGTAGTGCTAAGATTGGCCGAATACTTTCTTATAGTTAAAATCAAAATATAATATATATATATATATAAAACCATTTTCGAGACCTCGAGACATTTCTTTTGGACTTCATACCGGTAGTCAATGACTCGTTGTCAACGAATTTGTTTTGTTTTTTTCTTAACTTGACAAATTGTAGTAATTTTTTTTTTTGGAATTTCTATCGAATCTCTAACGTTAAGCTCCTCACACAAACCTTAGAGTTATTTATATTTTTCAGTGATTTCACTTAATTTATGTCAAGGTTATATTATCCTGCAAATGTTTCGCAAGCAACAGGGGATTTGTGGGCTTCTTGATTTATTATGTTCTTCGAACCTAACCCCAATATTTCATTTTGTCCGACCTACATCGCACGGTTTACAGTGTATTTACAAAATCGCCGATTTTTCTCCATCCCCATTGTATCATTATGATCGTTCATGACCGTCCACCACACGTGCCCAAAGTGCAATGTGTACTTTGGCACGTGCCGCCCGTAAATGTTACAATATTTAAGTACACCGAATATTTTGTAACGTGTTTTTTAATGTCGCGCACACTTAAATACAAAGACCGTTAATATCTCTTTAGGCTTACGTTATAAAACGCTTCTGTTTTTTTTTTGTCCTTTTTCTCTGCTACTCTGAGAAAACATTTAATAACAACACCACACGACGTGTCGCAGTATCGCTATTTGCGAATCACATAACCGTGCCGCGCAGTTGAAAGCTCGAAGATTAATACGAATATAATATATATATATATATATATACACACACCAAGCTTAGCCGGAGGGAAACGTTTTGATCTTAGCAAAGTGAACTCATAACGTAGAAGTATAATACAGCTTTGTGCTCGTTGTGTCGTTCGAGTATAATATAACGCGTTGAATTAATGATACGGATCATCCCGGATGTTTCGAGCTATATCAAATTCGAAATGACCTTTTGTACGAAGCTTCTAGTATTGTACCGACATCTATGGGAACGGTTGTATACTGTTATTTGCACTAGTCGAAACACTAAGATAATACAATTTTACAAGGACTTGCTGCGGACTGACGTGGGTGTCCGTCCGCTATCTTTCTATCCCACAAAAATATGTTTGTTTTATGTTGGACGGCCGTTATTGGTATAATTTAACATAATATATTATTGTTAAAATTGTGCACTACAGGAGGTGTTCCTCTGTATACGTGCTACATACAGGTCAAGTTCTCGTCAGCTCAGTACATGGGTCGTCGTTCATAAGTACCGTGTTTAAACTGTAAGGGTATAACGGAAATGGTGAACCCCACGAGGGTTATTGTATCTTTTATTTTAAGGATTAAAATACAAATATTCACTCTAGCGTAAAGCTAATAATCTACTTACGATACTACATTGGATTCTATTGAACTCGTATCCAAAGCTTAGGTGCTAAACTGCAAAGAAAGGTATTGGCATAATACTAAAACAATAAAAAAATGTTTCAGTGATGTGCTATTTTGTTGAGTGTTTCTATCAAAATTATTGTACATTAAAGATAAAATAATAAGAACATTTTTCCATGGCTGTTTACATGTTTATTCGGTTGATTTACAACTTTTGATAATGTTCTTAGAAATAATGATCAACCGAGGAAATTCGTGACATATTCCTCATTCATTCGAATTGCATACTCGTTTAGTATAACTGTTTACTCGTTTACTCAATTTATTTACTCTACTACTCAGTTATGTATTCGATTTCATTCGGTCTTGTGTTATTTTTGTATTTCACCGTGTAAATATTTTCGTTGCTCGTTTACTCGATTTGTTTACTCATTTACTCGTTTATTCGACCTATTTATTCGTTTACTCAATTGGTTTTTCTAGTTTACCCTATTTGGTATACACATGGTATTTTTCTTTATGGATTTACTCGTTTACTCGATTCATTTATTTGATTGATGTACTCGTTTACTAGAGTTAGTAACATGTTTATTCGGTTGATTTACTAGCTTACTCGATTTAATATTGATAATGTTTTCAGAAATAGTGGTCAACTGGAGGAAACTCGTGACATATTCCTAATTTATTCGAATTTCATACTCATTGAGTAAAACTGTTTATTCGTTTACTCATTTACTAATTTTTTCACTCGTTTACTCGACTTATATACTCTAATTGCTCAGTTTATGTTTTAGATATCTTTCCCGAATGTGTGTTTTTTGTTATTCTTTCTTTTGACATCTTTAATTTTTTTTACTCTATTTATTTTTACTCAATTACTCGGTTTCATTCAGTCAGGTGTACCGTGTTGAACTTCTGTT